ACATATTAGAAGCCCCCCGGGGGCTTCTAATATGGGGAGGGGTTTAGTCGATTATTCAGATACAGGCGAATAGGATAAATAAAGCTTGATTGAACACTGTATACGATATTTCTATCAAAAAAAAACTGACATCTTCTGTCCGTACGATAAATATTTTGACTATAACATCGACATTTCTCAATGAAATTCGAAAAGTGTTTTTACCAAAATGATCAGAGAGAAAAGCTCTACAAAGATTGATGCGAAAGAAAATTTTCTGAATAGTTTGTGATTTTTGGTTGATTACCTATGGAACTATTCGAAAATATTTTCATAGTAAAAATATTGCAATTATCGAGTACGAAAAATTTATGTATCACAATCATGTCGATGCATTTCACTACTAGCTTTAGCTAGAGAGCTGAACATTTCAGAAAGAAAAAGATCTTGATTAGATATACATGGGATACAAATTTGAGCCTTCTACGTCAAGAAAAAGTATGAAAAATATCATTAAGAATTAATCGTAGGTTATTATGACATACCCTTTATTGTTTGATATTGTGTTTGTGATAAAAACTTATTATTATAGGTGTTTTCATATGAATAAAAAATTCTTTTTAGGCACATAGTATCAGCTATGCATCTTCTCTAGTGATAGCGCTAGAGCTTTGAAAATTTAAGGCACTATTTATGTAGTTGCAAAATATTTTATGTCGTACTTTGAGTCTTTTCGGATCTGGCATAAAAGAGAAGAAATATTTTCAGTAAGCACCTAAACTTTTGTGTCAGTCTGTGAGTAACATGGAGAACAACAACCCTCATTCGAAATCAAAAAGAATAAGGAAATGAGGTTATCATGTAATCAATGAAGGGTAAAGAAGAACTATTGCACAACTAATTTTGCTACCTCAGATGAAGTACACGAGTACAAATAATAGAAGCATACCATAACGAAAAGAGACCACAGATCATTATTGTATAGATTAGTACAGTCAAAAGATTATGACATGCGAAACTTTTTTTGTCTAAATAGATCTTGCTCATGAATACTTCTCATATGAAAAGTATTTGATGGCTTTTTATCACGAATTAAGCGTTCACGTCATATATTCAGTTAAATGTTAATAATATTAATCTTGTGCAACACTGTAATCGTTTGATGCTTTCATTCTTATTGCAGTAGCGACATAAATTTTAAGTATGAGAAATCATTCAGTACTAATTGGGAAATAGTGCTCTGGTAATCATTTGTAATAGTTTTTCTTCATCCTCCGCAAATCAGTAGCATGTCTGAGCTCATTTTTTCATGAAATCTACAAATGCATTCTATTAGAAATAATTTTACACACAGGACATATGTTTCATTGCAACTCGACGATTAACTTCTCGGAACTTGATGGAACTGACTGGATTCCGCCAAACGAACCCTGTCGAATCCGTCCTGCGGAATTCGGTAATCGGAGTGCATCGGAAATTACAGGAATCAATTGAGACCCGGCCGGATGCAGTCATCAGAATTCATCGGATTGAGACAGATCCGACAGAATCTGATGGTTCACTTTCGACCTGGGTTAATGTGAGTTGATATAACTCTGTCTGATAAAGATAAGGCACAAAATGACGCATTATCATAAAGGAGAAACACTATAATAAACATAGAATTTCTTCCTTCTTAACTTTAAGAGTTTCAATTTAACGCTAACAGTTGCATATCGAAATCGGAAACCTTACGCTAGTTTCCTACCAATGATCAACACAGTCTCATAAGCTTGCTTCTATTTGGTCTGATCTCTGCTTCACGAGGCCGCCACTAACGCTCTTCTCCAAATCCCGCGTATCCCAAAGCTATTCTAGGGAAAATACTGTCAAAAAGGAGTACGAACGAATTCTCTAAGATCCAGTCAATCGACAAAATTCGACGAGGAATTAGATTTCAAAATCATCAACAGATCTGAAAGTCAGATACCTGCATACATATGATGGAAATGTGACCATTGATCTCCACAGAAACCACGCAACTAGGATTCAATATTATGTGACTATTCGATCTTGATAACTGAAGTATTTGCATAGTTAAAAATTTTAAGCTATGATGTGTCCTCATGGTACTCAATCACATTTCGGTGGTATCGGATCTGATCCCATCGGACATTATAGAATCCGGTTAAATCCAATCATTGGATTAGTTCTCCTGAAAATAAAACAAAACCATTTCAATAACTTTGCTCTACTAGAAACTGACTTGACACATTAAAAATTACATATTCTCAAACAGGTAAGCATGGTGTAGAAAAAAAAACACTGTTTCGCAGCAAGACTCACCTGTAGACGAAAAAATGACTCAAATGAATTTCGTTTTCGTCTTTTACTGTAATTTTATAGGCTTCGTTCTTTTTCTCTCATAGATGAATGTTAAGAAACGAAATACCTCCATCATTTTATTTGCGCTTTGTTTTTGCGAGCGACAACATTTCATTGTTGCCGCTGACGCCAATGAATCATTAGTTGACTCAAACTTTTTACATGCTGGGGAAAAAACCCACATGAAAGTATGTTTTGCAACTTGGAACAACATTGAATGAAAATGAAAAAAGTTTTAAAAGAAGAAAGAAAAATTATCCTAGTTTGTCTTTACGCATAATCGAACATAAAACGACGTGTAACCTTTTTTCATCAGCAAAAATGAACTATTCTAATTAATGAATATTCTATCTATGCAGAGAATAAACGCTGTTCTTAGTGATTTCTTTTTGAGAAATACATAGTTTTCAAGATGACGATAATTTAATCTGTTCTGAAAAAACCCGAAAAGTTGTGCCGAAATAGGAAAATAATCATGACAGACATTGGGAATGTAGATTATTCAAATCACGGTAAATATCATCTAAGTATTCTTGAATATCTATACTTTACTTTTTTTCCTCATGTTTCGACTATACAATTAATGGACATGGGTGGTGAACTAAGTTTTTAGTTATGAAAGCGTCGCTCACACCATCACCCATGTTCATTTTAAATTTCTATAATGTGTTAAAACAATAAGTAAATAAAAACATTAGTTAAAGACTTTACGAACACAAACTTCTAAAAATCTGTTATTTTATCATTTTTCAATAACTACATCATAAAATATTGACAACTTAGTTTATTACTATTTATTTTATTTATACTAAATAGTGAAGTAATGATCAAGGTAAGTTCTGATTGAATGAGTACGAATCAATACATGACTAGCTATTTAACAGTTCATAGTGTTCGTTGTCTAAGCTTCTAGTGGAGAGAAGACGCTCTTAGATCTGATGGCTTATTGTCCAAATTGATAGTAAGGTTTCATCGCCATATATGAACATCAATTCGTATGTCATGTTCATTTGCATGCGCATCATCTCATGTTGGTAATTTCGGTGTTAAAATCTTGACTGAATTACACTATTAATAAAAAAAGATTCTTTTATTATTTTTTTTTCAAATGAGATTCTAGAGTAGAGATTATGCAATTGTAAGGTCTATTGTCAGCATTCGCTATTTGCTTTGAGCAAAGATACTAAAGCGTCTTGGAATTTGAATTCGAGTCGGTCGTCTCCACGATACTTATTCGTGCTAACATACCATTTACCCTGGAACTGATTTTTATTTGAATTCCAAGTCAATTGTATAGTCGATGTATGACCGAGATTCTCTCTTAGATCACCTGTTCCTGCTACATAACTTCGTTTTAGAGCTAGTCGAAGATTTTCCGAAGAAAAAGTACCATCAACAGTAAAATCACCGCCGTCATCATTTCCTTGGCCAGTCACTTTACCTAAATAACGATCAAACGTGAGTGATAATCGATAACATTCATGCCACTTTGTCATATTGATAATATCGAAAAGACCAGACATATATTGGAAAGAATCTCTTTCTAGGTTGCGGTTTTCTGAAGAACTTTGATGGATAAAATCTGCATTCACTTGAGATGGTCTGCCTGCTCTGAATTGATAACTGGAACCCGCAATACAATTCAATAGTGTACACAAGATGCACCCTACAACAATGACCGAAACTATTGACTCGAAAACTTCACAGGCTCGACTACGACATAATTCCCGCCGACTATCTAAACATGAAAAATCAATAGAACACAATATGAGTTTTAAAATGAAATGCAACACTGAAATACTCAGAGTGATTGTTATTGATAACAGCTGATAAACAGTGATAGATCGTGATTGATTTGCTGCGCTACTATTCAAATCTCAAATCAACCTATTTTGTCATATCTATTATCCTTCAAGGATTGCTTTTCAATGTTATAAAAGTGGAATTTGGACCGAAAACTTTTCATATAATACTAAAATGGCAGCGTGCTATGTCAATCAAAATAGGCTAATTTCCTCCGTCATTATTTCGACTACTCACTCTACTTGTAAGTTACTATCTCTTCCACCACCACCATCACCTTGACATTGAACCACCATTGTCATTAGAGCCAAGATTAGAATAAAGTATGTTGTTATATACATGGTTAAATCTTGAACAAAATATCATTTCACTAGATTTTTTATTAGATATGATAGTTGCAGGTGAGCACACACAATAGAAAGTGGAACAGCAGTGAATACAATTCAATACGAATCGCAACAGTTCGACATGCGACAGAAAGAAAGGAGAAGAAATTTTGTAAAGACAAACAATTTAGGTTTGATTGAAATAATAAGCAACAGATAGAATATTTGTCGAAGTATAAAGGCTCACAAAAGCAAAACAAACTTGATTAAAAGCCTGAAGAATGAGCGATTGAAAGGAATTATAAGAAAATAAGAAATGATAACTTTTCGATGATTAGCTGATTACATGCTATCGATTTTTCGGTTTTTCTTTCTATGGAGAATAGTGCAAAAGAGTGTCTACAAATAATTGATTCCGTTCTGTCTACATGAAGTACTTAAGTATTACGGTCTTACCATCTTAAAATGCTGTTCTTAATCATTATATTGAATAAATACCCACTATCACTTCGTAGCGATTATGATAATTATCGACAGAATGCATGAGTTCTAGTGAAAATGATTTTCCTCTTTTTTTTCTATTTTCATGTATTAAGCGGAATTCACGATTGCTATTTCTATCCAGAGAGACTTACATTTTGCTTTCCAGAAGACTATAGATGTGTTGCTAAAAGTCTTGCACTTTTTCTCGAACGATACTTGATGTTTCAGATATTCGTTCAAAATTTCCGAAATTTTAATTAAGATTTACATATTTTTTGAAGAAAATAGGTCAAAATCTTGTTGTTAAGCTTAAAATCAATTGAAACACTTGAACAATATCAAGGTGAAATGCTTTAGAATAGTAGTGCACGATTGAGCTCAGGCTAAGCGATCAAACAAAAACTACTATGTCGATAGCTAAGCTTAAATAGAATACACTTATGTTCTAGCGAAGTAGTCACAAGCATATTTCTAAAATCTGATCATATGTGACTATCACGATATTATCACTTTCCTACTCTTGATTATCGAAAATAGTTACTAAATGTAATTCAATTTTTGCATACGGATGTACCATGGATTGACACTTAAACATCGTATTTTCAAAATTGAGTACAGGAACAAAAACTTTATTTGAATATGAGTCTTCTATTTCTATTGAATTTCGGCTAAAAATCATAACTCTGAGGGCATATGAATATAATTTACCTGAGTCTATCCAGCTAGTGTTCAAATGTATAAAAGTCAGATAAAGTTTGATAGCTTGACTAGGAGCTTTGTTAGTTGTGTAGCAATATTTATTTTGAAATAACAGTTATTGAAGAATGTATCTAGAAAGTTCTGATCATAATTTTCTTTTGTTAGAAAATTCATGATGTTGTCAGTTAGTATTTATTCAAGTTTAGGAAAAAATATGATTGTTCTCGAAGTTTATCCTGAACCAGAACTGCCAGCCTGGCCTGGTTCCTGGCAGGCCATCAGGCCGTCCACCAGGCCAGTCTGAATTTTTGAAATTTGTCCTGGCCTGATCAGGCCATCCCATGTTTGGCCTGGCCTGCCGTCCAGGCCAGGCCGAAGTTGCTGGCCTGGATGTAGTAAATTATTAATATGAATAAAAGAGACAAGACGACAACTATGATTGATTAATTTTAACGCAGACAAAAATAGTGCTTTTCATCATATTAAAAACAGAGGGTATTCCTTTTTTATATTTTGTTTACCAAAAACAAAAACGAATAGTCTAATATAAATGTTGCTATTTGTTGTTATCATCGTTTCTCTCTTTTCTACATTTCTCTATTATGTTTTCTTTTCACTGAGCGTTGTATATGTGAACATACATTATTCGTGATATTTTGGCTATCTTTTTTCGTTTATATGAAATAAGCCCTTCATGTGATGAAAAATATCTCTGATGATTGTCTTTTCTATTTCAGCTTGCTCTGGCATGTGAACGGCCGCTTGAGAAGAAGAAGGAAAGCGGAGGATTCTGGAATAACTTTTTTGGAGGATATTGTTCGAAAAAGGAGGAAAAAAGGAGGATATTATTTTTGTTTTAAAAAGGCGTTCTAACATAACAAAAACAGCATGCTTGAGCAAAAACCAAGAGCTAATTAGAACTATAGATGACTTATACGTAGTTTCATATTAACGATCAAAAATAAAATAGTAGCATGTGACAGGAAAGTAGTTAATCTAATCAAACAGTCATGCTGATGTGAACTCGACTTCATACAGTTGTGAATAAATGCTGGTTTTTTAGTGCGATTTCGTTTGCACAGATCTGGACATCAACAGAATTAAGTTTACTTAGTGATCCTAAGATTTTCTGTTACAAAATTTATATAAGTTTAACGATTCACAAAAAATGTTGGCTCTTGAACGGTGAAGATGTATCAAAAACTTATTTTTATTAACATATCATATATATGTATGTTTATATTTTCGTTAGAAACACATACATGTAAATAACTCGCGATATTATACCAAACTTTTTCAAGCGCATTTTCATCACTGAAGGACACCGTTTTTATTCTGAGATATTAAAATTTATATAGATTTTTATATAAGAATGCAAATGACAAGAAATGGTTAATGTATTTTTACAACCGTTACTTTTGAGAGACATAAGTTTCAATCTGATATATTGTTCGTTTAGAGGCCGAACCTTTGCAATGTCAAAAATAATGTCTCATTCTACAAAGATATCTGTGTCTCAGATAAACACAATAAAACTATTAGAATATACAACAAATATTGTGTCGTAAAGTCCACTGACATAGTCACAGAAGTCTGGTACTAAACAGTAAAATCAACTAGAACTAGCATTGCAGAAATCAACTTTTGTTCACTCACCAGATAAAATATTGCACAAGGAGATGAAAAGCATGAAAAGAGGAAACTATATGACGCTATTCGTGGATTTTTGATTAGATTAGATTAGATGCAGTAGTTGCTGATTATTGACGCAAAACTACTAAAAAGACGGAAAAACAGAAGATTATCATAAAAAGAAGGTTAGAGAGAACCTTTTTGTAAAAACACAAGGAAAAGGAGGAGCATTCAAATGCCAGAACTTGCTTTTGTATGAAAGAACTTGTTATTCTGTAATCTTATGAAAATAAATTACGCATATGACAGAAACTGAGTCAGTACATGGAATACAGAATTATAGAATTTTACAAGCTTGAATAATCATAAGCATGAATCGACCTGGTTCCGCCTGCAGGCCAGGCCAGGCTACAGGCCACTATTCGATTTCCTGCCTGGCCTGCAGGCATGTTAATTTAGACCAGGCCAGGCAGCAGGCCAGGCCAGACCAGAAAAAAGTGGCCTATTGGCAGCTCTGTCCTGAACGTGTAGAGTGTATTCACTAAAGAATAGTCTTTCGTACAATATTTACAAGATTGAAATGTAAAACCCAATGAAGCCCTTTTTATTTCATGTTAATATTCTTTTCGAACTGATCATGACCTATGACAAAGTCAGAGATATTGAAATATCCACTATGATTTGCTATAAGGGCACAAAGACTGGCTCGCAACCAAGATAAGAAGGGAATTGATTGGGATCCTTCGTTGACTGCTCGAATCACTCAAAACTATTTTCATGCTAGAAAGAAAAGGATTCATGTAAAAACGCCAGATACATCCATAAGTCAATAACTCGTCCCAAAAGTATACATACTTGTTAGTTCAATTGCTTTCTTGAATCAATGATATAAAAAATTATGTGCATTATAGAAAGATTGAACGCAAGAGTGATAAGAAGAGAGAAAAACCCATCACCACATCAAATTTGACTATTCATCTTCTTCTATTACTGTTTCACTGTATGCATTTTTCTATCTTGATATATATCTCTAAAGTTTTATTTAGTACTAATAAATTCGAACGTGAGGAAAGCTAATAAATAACTGGCAGAATTTTTCTTATTTTATTTATCATTTTTTTTATTCTGAGAATATGTAAATACTAAACAAAAAAAATGCAAGTCATTTTAACTTGATCGGAATTAGATAGAACCTATCGAAATTTCATAAAACTTCCAAGAGACATAGGAAATAAATGAAACCACGAGTTTGGACAGCTGAAACAATCGACCTATGTAAAAAAAAACCAATAGATTATGAATGTAATAAGTAGTAAAGGATCAAGAAAAACATGAACGCTATCATAGACGACTGAAAGAACTGACTTAATCAAAAAAAAAAGTGGAACGAAAAGAAAGAATGACTCTTTGCTCTACTATTGGCCTTCTTCTCTCTGCTGCCATTATCTTGTTCTTTATTACTGAATTCTATGATCGTTGAGACACAGACATATGTCCACGTCTTAGACTACTGATGAAATTGTGGGTTACTCTGATCTTTGACGCAATATAAC